TATATATATATAACCGGTTCCGGCGGGTATCCAGCGGATAGCGGTTCCAAAAACCTAAGAACCGGAACCGCTTATGGTGGTTCCAAAACTTTAGGAACCGGAACCGGAACCGCTTAAGGCGGTTCCGGTTCCGGAACCAGCGGTTTTGAGGCGGTTCCGGTTCCGAAAGCGGATACCCTGTTCCACTGCTCACCCCTAGTCATTAAGAGTGATATTTGGATTTTTGGATAACTTCTTTGAACTTTGAAGTGCTTTAACCAAAATCTCTTTATTTTTAATAGATTCAAAAAATAGTCTAACATTTGTCATTTTTTATTTTAGAAAAAATGGTAAAAGATTAAATATCTAGAGACATTTTTTTAAATATTTTTTCCATTTAACTCGGGTTTTAATGTTTTTTCTAGGTTAATAACATAAAAGATCATATATATTGAATTTTTTCTGATTATACTACAACTTTATTTTTTTCCAAAAAAGCTCTTATATTGTTACATTTTTCATTTTACCAATTAATTTATGGTTAATTACATAAAAATTAAAAAAAAAACTTATATACAAGATTACTTTTTTCGGATTAAACATTACTTTTTTTTTAAATTATATATAAATCCGAAAGATTACTGCATCGAATAAAAAAATTAAAAACTTACGATAAAAAAATCCAGAAAAAACTAATATATAGAAATTTTAACAATTAAGCATCTTTTTAGAAAGTGTTTTTCAAATGGGCCCAAAACGTCAGCTATGAAATTCAGCTCATTTGGGTTTTGACAGATCGGGTGGGTGGGCTATCGATCATAGAACCACCGTTCACCTATGAAGACTCCGATCAATCAAATGAATAGACTCTGACTACTTCACACTCTGAAATAGTTTCTGATTTTCGAGTTATCGTACATCCTCATTGTTGCTATTTTAAGACGCGAAATGCGAAGCTCAAGCGCTGGTACTACAGATGATGATGAATCCGCCACCATCTCCGACGAATACGACGCCACTATGGAGACGGATACGGACGTTGTAAGTAAAGATGGCGCCGTTGAGTCTCTATCGACTCCCTTCCGTCCAGGAGAGAAGGTCTTGGCTTATCATAACCTTCGCATTTACGAAGCTAAGGTGCCGTTATGTGCTTTCGATTTAGTTTATCGTATTATTACTGATTTTTTTTAATCGTTTCTCTTTCGCACTTCTCGCTTTTGTTCCATGGAAGCAATGATTGTGAAATCCCTATGGAAATTGAGTATGTGATCAATCTGCCCACCTCAGTTTAATTCATTGATTCAGGACCACAAAAACATTGAAGAGCGACCCTAATACTCTTTTAGAATGCTCAAGTCAAGGGCTCCCACTTTGGTCGTAAAGCGTTATATGTGGCCTCCATTACTAAAGATAATAAAACAATTATGGAAGTTACAAATCTAATGTTTTAATGATCTTACATAGCCTGCTAGGATCAACTTCAGTTTTGAAAATGTTTAATATAGTTGTTTCAAGAGGAGTTTCATATGGTGCATCTGGAAATGGAGGAATACTACACCTAGATGATGATGATGATGATGATGATAGACATAAATGCAAAAACATAGTCACTATGTGTTCCACTGATCTTGACTACTTATAATACTAAAAATTGGTGGCTCTAATCCAATGTGCAACATAAACACCTCTACACTTTGGCTTTCTAAATATGTTATAACTACATCAAACTTCATAACAAGTGATACATGTACACTATTGTTCTTATGTAAATCCCAATTCCTATTTCATACAGAAAGTACTCAGTTTGACATTATAATTCCAAGTGTATCTTTTTATAGAATAGTTGCCCCCTTACCCCTTTAGAATCTATGGGTACACTTTATGTCACTCCATTTTCCTGTAACTCTTTGTATAAGTAGCATCTGATGTGTCCCCTCTGTATCTAACAGGTGCTACAAGTTGATTCCAAGGAAAAGCGTTTTTATATCCACTATCTAGTAAGTATTATTAATCGATCTATTTTCAATTCTTATGCTTTTGTTAGCATTGGATTCATAGAACATTTATATGAGGCTTAATGCTAACAGTTTCCATTTGTTTTGTATTTACAGGGGTGGAAACAAAAGTGAGTAATTTTATCTTATATATACTTGATTTTACATAAGTAATTATGATTGTAGCTGATATATTATTTGGTTTGAATTTTGATAGATGGGATGAGTGGGTAGGCATTGATCGTCTCATGATCATAAACAATGAGAATCTTCAAAAACAGAAAGCACTCGAGAATGAGTTGAAGCCCAAAAATCCTAATAGTTAGAAACAACATTCTTTTAAATATTAATCCTAGTTTTTGTATATCAACCAAAACAAATTTATTAAACTTGGATTTTTGTTTCTTTAATATATTGCAGTGACAAAGGGCATGAAGAGGAAGACCATGTCCAAGGTATTTTTTTTTTTTTTTTTTTTTTTTTTTTTTCACTTTGGACTAAAATATAAATTCTATCCCTTGTATGCAAGGGCACTGTGTCTTATGAAAAGCTGATTGATATCCATATACCATCATCACTGAAGAAGCATTTGGTGAATTATAGCGAATATATAACTCATATGGGCAAGGTAAACCAATCACTAATTATTTTTAAACTTTTAGTCTCTATATATTTATTTTCTCCAACTCTTTTTGTTGCAGCTTGTTAAACTCCCATGCTCTCCAAATGTTGATGACATATTGACACTGTATTTGGAGCATCGATCAAACAAGGATGGAAGGTTTCCTCTCTTTTTCCACATATTTTTTTTTTCAAATTTAGTTATTTATATACTTTTATTATTTTTATATGAAGGGAATCAGATACAGCTGGAGAAGTTGTAAGTGGAATACGTTGCTACTTTGACAAAGCATTGCCTGCAATGCTTCTTTACAAAACTGAAAGCCAACAGTATCAACAAGCAACTGCAAATCAAATTTCTCCTTCTAAAATCTATGGAGCTGAACATCTGTTACGTCTTTTTGGTATTTTTCTGTTACACTTTTATTATTAAATTAAGTACAAAAATCTTGTTTTGGGATTTCAACATTACATTGTTTGATTTATTTACAGTTAAATTGCCAGAGATACTGTTCCATGCTAACATTGAAGAGGAGACATTGAGAGAACTGCAACACAACTTACAAGACTTTCTCAAGTAATAGCAATGTTCTTTAATTTTTTTTTTTTTATTACAACAATTATTTTTACGATCTTAATCTTAAACATTTTATAAATTATAACGCAGGTTCCTTCAGAAGAAACAAAGTTTGTTCTTCCTATCTAGCTATGAGACACCAGATGGTTCTTGCACAATCGAGTAACAACACTGTTTATGGAGCAACAATATTGTTTGTAAAATAGATTTTGGTTCTCTTTTTAGTGCATTGAATCATCTTTTGTTGTAATGTAAGTGTGTTGCTATTATTGTAAGGTATACTTTATAGTTAATATATTTAAGAAAATTGTGATGTTTGATTTTATACATAATTTGACAAAAATGTCGGGACTATTGAAGAAATGTTTACAATACTATTAAATAAGAACAACAAAAAGAAAGCTTATGGATCAAAATCAAAATTACTAATTTCTAGAGTACACATGGGTAAAAAACAAATCAAGGTCGAAAAGTATTAAAAAATAATGTTAGCATTTTTTATTGAAACAACCTATTTTTCTTCCTCTGAAAAAATAAAGGAAAGTTTTCACAGAAGGATTCTTGTTTTGCTAAGGGTGCGATAATGTTAGAAGGGTTTTGCTTTGGACATTTGTTGTATGTTAAGTTTGTTGTTATTAATGAATGAACAATGATCCAAATGACTTGATCATAGTGTTTTATATATTTGCTTCAACTATTTGTTTTGATTTATTGTATTCGAAATCAACACTATGATCCAACATAACCAAATGACATTTCAATTAACGACTCTCTTCCTAATTCTTCTTTAACTCTATAAATGAAATCATTGGACTTAAAGGCATATAAGTAAAAACAAACATTGTTTCACTTAAACCCTTATGGTTTTCTACTAAACATAGTTAGGCATAATAATAAGAAAGATTAAGTGATACAAAATCAAAATCATATAATTTGGTTAAAAAAATAATTCAAACTCTATGTTTAAATTAGTGGATTTTTTTGATATAATCCACGATCTAAAATTTTCTTTCATTTGCCGGATTTAGAGGGGACATCCTCAAAACATTGTCAATATCATTAACACCATATGAACTTTATTGATTAGAGACACTATAATGATTTTATCTTTTACATAAATATGTGTATCCCGTTCCATCATAAAATTTATCACATTCTATTAAAAAAATATCATTTTAATTTATTTTAATGTTACTCCTCTTTATTTGATTTGATTTATTTTTCAATAAATCCATATAATACGCATCATATAATACACATTATAATAAAACGGCTGATTCCGTAAACAAGTTTTGAATAAAAAAAACTTTTGCAAGATCTTTTTAGGGTGAACTTAATTAAGTTCCAAACCACACTTACATCATGATCATGTTAGACCACACTACCCCACAATCACAATTCACATACACATAAAAACACTATTTAAAACTCTTGTCAAGATAGTTTTGAAGACAAATCAAAAAATTTTGATATGGTACATATAACGTGCTAAGATAAGATGAATATCATTTTTGAAAATGCATCTCTAGTGCAATCACTAGTTGATAGATTTGGTTAATAGGACAAGGGGTTTTAATATTTTGTTAAAAAATGTATGTTCCAAATATTTATGTGTGAAAAGATGGCATCCTCGATTGAATAATTTGCAAAATGTAGAGTTTAGAAAATCCAATTTGGTCAGCATATGAGACTTGTTCCATGCAGCTATTACTTATTTTCCCATGTTCAATGTATCTGTTTAATTTTCTATATGTCCAGCTTCATCTTCTTGTGTTTTCCTGAGGTGTGAGTTCATCAATGCGTCTCATTTTGTGGTAACCAACCACTTGTAACGTTGAGTAATTCTATGCAAGCGCCAAACAGAAGCATGAAACTAAATTGTTAAATGAACATGCCTTGTTTTTCCATTATGTTGGAAAGAACCTTGGACTACTATGTCTTTTTTTTTTTTTTTTTTTTTAGAATGGGAATTTTAGCAATTAGTGGATGCCTTCCTTTATTCATGTCCATGAATTACCTACCATCAACTTTAGTAACTACAGATAATTCAATTGGATTCTTATTTATTCACATAAACATATCAATTTTTTCTCAATGTATGTTTACTCTTGATATCCCTCCCTTGGACACATTTTTTTTCTTACCAATATTCAATTATTTAAGTTTTAAATCTTCCTACTTACATTTTCGAACTTGTTGAATTGCTTTATTAATAACCATTTACATTTGGTACAAGACATAATAATATCTCCTTGAAGTTGTACGACTTCAAATGTCAAATTTATCGCTAAAAACAATTGCAAGGCTGAGACTTGTAAGCATTTGAACAAAGGTAAAGTTGATGGATTCTCTTGATCAAAATGCAAGAACTGCAATGGCTGTGGTTTGTCAGCATCTCCTTGAAACACTTCCGTTAAAAAAAAAATTAAAACATTTATAAATACTTTCGTTTAAAAAAAGAAGTTGTATCAAAGTTTTATCTAGAACTTAGTATACAATTCTCATCCTTTACATGACAACATTTACTTTTGAATAGTATTAAATTCTCCTAACGTAGTTTTACAATGACAAGTTGATTGATGATTGGATCCCATTAGGACACATCATTGAGGACTTAAAACACCAATTGACCTGGTAAACGAAATGACTCGAATACGACATTCACCAAAACACATACTAGTCGTCAAATTAGATATAATAGCAAACTACCTTTCCTCGTTATAGAGAAATTAATATTATATTTATTTTAGAAATATATAACATTTAATTTAATACATAAATAATAATTTAATTTAACTATTAGCATTGTATACTAGTTATTAATATACTAATATGTAACTTAAATTAACCAAAAAAAAAAAACTACATCCATAGAGTTTCAATTTAGTCTATTTCAATCACCTGGGTTCAATCTACCCACCGAGTTAACCCAGTAATCCATATCTTAAAAACTGTCATTACTCATTATATAAATACAAGTATACAACATCCACATACAAGGTTTCTATTCAATCATAATGGATCTTCTCCTTCATCTTCTCATGCTTGTTTCACTAATCTTATCTCAAACACCATTAACAACCTCTTCATCTTCACCACCTTACGCCTTAAAACTAGGCTCATCTCTCTTTGTAGACAACAAAGACGACGTCTTAATCTCTCCAGACAATGTTTTCACAGCCGGATTCTACAGTGTGGGAAACAACGCTTTTTGCTTCTCAATTTGGTTCACTAAACCGTTATCCACCGGGTCCCACACAGTTGTCTGGATGGCTAACCGTGATGCACCCGTTAACGGAAAACGGTCCAAGCTTTCCCTAACCAAAACAGGCAATTTAGTTTTACAAGATGCAGATCAAGATCTTCCCATTTGGACCACAAGAACACGCGACTTAACCGATTCAGCCGAATTAAAACTCAACAATTCAGGAAATCTTTACCTTCAAAGTAAAGATGAAAAGATACTATGGCAAAGTTTCGGATTTCCAACCGATACCCTTCTTCCGAATCAACCATTAACCAAAGAATCCATGCTTGTTTCTTCTAGAAGCAAAACAAATCATTCCTCAGGTTTCTACAGGTTGTTTTTTGATAGTGATAATGTTCTTAGACTTGTGTATAGTGGACCTAAAGTGACAGGTGTTTATTGGCCTAATCCAGAGCTTCGAGCATGGGATGCTGGAAGGAGTACTTATGGTAGTGAAAGAACTGCTGCAATTGACACTTTTGGTCGTTTCATTTCAAGTGATGGTTGGTTTTTCAATTCTTCAGATGATGGGATTCAGATTATGAGAAGGGTCACCATAGATATAGATGGAAACCTTAGAGTCTACAGTCTGAATGAAAACAGAACATTCTGGAAGGTTACTTGGCAAGCCATGGCTCAAACTTGCATGATTCATGGAAGTTGTGGTGAAAACAGTACGTGTTCAAATCAGCCAACTTATGGTAGGAAGTGCACTTGTTTACCATATCATAAAATGGTTAATCGAACAGATTGGTCTTATGGTTGTGAGCCTGAATTTGAGCAGAGTTTATGTGGTAATGGTGAGGATAGTTTTTTACACCTTCCTCATTTTGATTTTTATGGGTATGACCTAAAGTATCTTCCGAATGTTACCTTGGATGTATGTAAAGAAGAGTGTATGAACATGTGTAGTTGCAAAGGGTTTCAGTATAAGTTCGATAAGAAACAAGGGATCTTTCTTTGTTACCCGAAATTTCTATTGCTGAATGGGTTCAGCTCGGTTAGTTTCAATGGTTCTTTGTATCTAAGAGTCCCAAAAGTTACGTTATCTTCTAAGACTACTAAAGCTACTCAAGAACTTGGGTTAAATTGCTCTGGGCATCCTATGATGGTGGAATTGGAACGAGTTTATGATAAGAAGAATGACAGAGGGTCTATAAAGTTCTTACTATTGTTCACTTATGTATTTGGGGCGTTAGAGGTCGTTTGTATAATCTACTTCTTCTACAAAACAAGAAAATCAGTTACAAAATCACAAGGTTATCTCCAAGCTGCAACGGGATTTGAGAGGTTTAGTTATCGGGATTTGAGAAAAGCATCTGAAAATTTCAGTATGGAGGTTGGAAGAGGAGGTGGAGCGGTTGTCTATAAAGGGGTTTTGTCTGATAACCGAGTTGCAGCCATAAAACGTTTGAAAGAAGCTAATAGCAACCAAGGGGAAGCGGAGTTTTTGGCGGAGATTAGTACACTCGGGAAGCTTAATCACATGAATTTGATAGATATATGGGGTTATTGTGCTGAAGGAAAGCACAGGATTTTGGTGTATGAGTATATGGAGAATGGATCATTGGCGGAAAATCTACACTCGAAAAAGTTAAATTGGGATAAAAGATTTGAAGTTGCGTTGGGTACAGCGAAAGGACTTGCTTATTTACATGAAGAATGCTTGGAATGGGTTTTGCATTGTGATGTGAAGCCTCATAATATATTACTGGATCAAGATTACTTACCAAAAGTTGCAGATTTTGGGTTGTCGAAGTTTTTTGATAGAGATGGAAGAGGTAACTCGGAGTTCACAAAGGCACGAGGTACAAGAGGTTACATGGCTCCAGAATGGTTCTTTGTGAGTCTTCCGATTACCTCAAAAGTGGATGTTTATAGCTATGGAGTTGTGATGCTGGAGATGATAACTGGAAGAAGCCCACAAGGCGGTGATCAAAGTGGTGGATATGAAAGACGGATGGTTAAGTGGGTGAGAGAGAAGGTTGCTGATGGATATGGCGGAAAGAGTAACTGGATTGAAGAGATTGTAGACTCTACAGTGAAAGGAGAATACGACAGAATTCGAATGGGAAATTTGATCAAAGTGGCTTTGCAATGCGCTGAGGAAATTAAGGATGCAAGACCTACGATGAGCCAGGTAGTAGATATGCTCCTTCGTGGTGAAGAACTGTAGATGTTTTAGGTTTATTTGCTCCCCTCTGCTGTGATGACTAGTAGAATCTAGGGTTTGTATACTTCTTCTTTGTAAGGTCCTGTACATTTTCATAGACCATGATTGAGATTATATCTTTTTCCTTAACCTATTTAACTTCAATTAAACAAGCATGTAACATATTCAAACAGGAGGAACGACAAACATATCTACATTCGTTTTCAATCAGTATATAAGATCTCCTTCTTTGTTAATAGTTATGGATTTACAGCAGCTTCACATGGAATAGTGAATAATGCAATTGCAGCAAGATTTCACCAAGAACTTCCTACATTGAGCTAGAAGAAAAACGTACCTTGTTCATATTCCCGTCAATACCGGGATCGTATAAGAGCACACAGGAGAAAGAACTGACGACTATCGCCGGATCGCCGATGTCAAGATGGCATCCTGGCAGGAGGATGAGTTATAAAAATATTGGGTAAATTACACCATTTGCACCATTTGCAAAGCCTCTACTATTTTATTTTCAAAAATTAACTGTGTTTGTTTTTTCTGTTTAGTCCCTATTGACATGAAATGATTTTTTTACTCTTAATAATTTATTTTTTTCATTTTATTTTGTTTATTTATCAATTTTAAATTAAAAAAATAAAAAAATATCCCTACCCATCTATTTTCATTTCCCCATCTCAAGATTTTCCATAAACCACCACATATAACCGCCAGCACCTCCGGCATCACCACCTACCGCCAGCACCTCCAGCACCACCGCTTATCACCGCCAGCACCTCCGCACCACCACCTACCACCCCACCATCTCAGTGGGTCCCACCACCTCACATACTCTCCTTTTCACCCTCTGTTTCCTTCTCTTATTTCGTCACCACCACCTCTTACCTATTCCGACAATACCACCGTATACCTATTCCGACACCACCAATCACCTCTAGACCACAATCCAGTAATATATCTTACATTTTATTTGAAACTCTCTCAGATTCGAACCTAGAGCTTCGTTCAGCTTCACATGAGTTCTAGCCCTAGAGCTCCAGTAAACGCATACATATCAAAATTGGTGCTGAGATCCACACCATAAATTCCGAAATTGAAATCAATGATGAGAGAAAGAAATGGAAAACCACCCATGCATCTTTATGAGTTTGAGGTCTGGGAATTGATAAAATAAACAGAAAAGAAAGAAAGAAACTAGCGTTCAGATTTTATCATATTTGAAAGATTTGCACTTGGTGTCGATTTGAACAAATTTAAAATGGTCTTCAGCCCCTTTTCCCTCTGTAACCATGTCGCGGGAGATACTGTCCACCTCTGCCTCCGATTCGAACAAAGAAGAAAGAAAGAGTCTGACAATTCTTGATTGAGACCGGAGAAGAAAGAGAGAGCGATCGACGGTTCTTCATTTGGGGTGTCTTGATGCTTGTCGGAAGAGATGAAATCGTTGAGGCGATGTTCCTCGGCAAAAGATGAATCAAATGAAGTGATGGTGGGGTTTAGTAACCTGGAAACGAAGGAGGTAGAAGGAATGTAGAAGGAAAGGGGGAAAGGGAACGTGGAGGTTGGGTTAGGGTATTAAATTTTTTTTTTTAATATAAAATAATTTATGATTAATGTAATAATAAAATATTAAGGGCAATATATTCATTTTATAGTTGGAAAGGGACACAACATGCAAATTTAAATTAATGAGGGACGAAGCGTGTAGATATTAAAATAATAAGAGACGGTCCGAGTTAATTTTTGAAAATAGGGACTAAACACACTTTCTGACATGTATACGAGAGATGAATGGTGTAATTTACCCAAAAATATTATAATCAAAGTTTAGTTTTTGAGTTAGACCACAAATATTTCTAAATTCTCATTTAGGCCACCATATATTTTTTGTTAAAAGCTTCGAAAGTAATAAAATAAATTTTCAAAATTGGTCCGATTCCACCAACATTGATCAAGTATAGGTCCCTAATTTGTAAAACTTAGTGTAAATTATAGGGCAGTTCCTACTGTATACAAAATGTTTTGGGTTTATGATAGAGCCAAATTTGAGATGTCAAATTTCCAAGAAATAAGAAGAAAACAGGACTATTTTGGAACAATTTTTCTGTTTTCTATTCCTCAAGCAACAATTATAATTTATAGGAAAACAATGCAAACAAGCTACTAAGGAAAAATGCATGCATGTGAAATAAACGTGATCCTAAAATACTGCAACTAGCTTTACTGGAACATAATGGAAAAGTGGACTAAGACTTCAACTAGAACTATTCAATGCAAAATGCAAAGTGGTGAAACAGTTACTTAATGAGTTCGTATCAATTTATTCGGTTTTCTTGTTGTAACTTTTGGTCGTGTTTGGTAGCTGATAACTAATAAAAAGGTTAGTGTGTATGAAGTTATTTACATGTCAACAAATCAAATATTAACTAATAAAAAGGTGGTGGCTAGTTGATCTGTTGGTTGGTGAAGAGATTGACAAGAGTAGACATGTCTATGGTGAGTTTGTTGAGTCGGGTGTTGGTAGCGGTGGATGAGAGCTTGAAGTTGGTCTTGAATGGAGAGGGGCTCATCGGGTTTGTTCTCTTGTTTGGGAGGCATGGTAAGGAAGATGAAAGAACCAAATGATAGAGCCAAATTTGAGATGACAAATCTCCAAGAAATTAAGAAGAAAATGAGACTATTGTGGAACAATTTTTTTGCCTTCTATTTCTCAAGCAACAATTACAATTTATAGGAAAACACTGCGAACAAGCTACTAAGGAAAAATGCATGCATGTGAAATAAACGTGATCCCAAAATACTGACACTAGCTTTATTGGAACATAATGGAAAAGTAGACCAAGTCTTCAACTAGAACTATTCAATGCAAAGTGGTGAAACAGTTACTTAATGGGTTCGTATCAGTTTATTTGGTTTTCTTGTCGTAACTTTTGGTCGTGTTTGGTAGTTGATAAATAATAAAAAGGTTAGTGTGTATGAAGTCATTTATGGGTCAACAAATCAAATATTAAGATTCAAAACTTTTATAATTCTTACGGGTTTCGATTATTAGCGCTCCATATAAAGATTAGAATTTTAGTCTTTAATTTTCTCAATCATTTCTTTTGTATAGAATCCGAGTGAGTTAATCGGCCTAATTCTTTAATTTTTGAAGATGCATCTCCATGTCGGTATTGTCTCATGCATGTTCTTGTAGTGACATTTATTTAATTTAAAAAAGACAAAACCTCATAAATGGTCCATGCGGTTTTCTGAGATCTGCGATATAGTCTCGGTCCCTTATGATTGGTTGATCTCTCACCAATATAAAAGGACTTCTATGTCATTTCTATGTCTTTTGAGAATTAATTTTACCTAATTTTATTTAAAAAAAATAGAAAAAAAATCTTGTATGCCTCTCTCTCTCTCTCTCTCTCTCTCTCTCTCTCTCTCTCTCTCTCTCTCTCTCTCTCTCTCTCTCT